CTAGGTCCCCTATATCTCGGTATCCTCCGATATTTGTACCCCGGTGACCTCTAATACTAATTCTTTATTGCTACTACTCGCCGGTTAGCCTAAGCTCGGTACTTTCTTCGATACCTTTATTAGGCTTCGTCCTCTATTTCTAGAGCTCTCCTCGGTAGGGGTCTAGGAGCCGCTACCTCCTAAGCTCCCGGTTCCTATTATAGTAGCCGCCGGCGTCCTTCCGGTAGCTATCGAGAGATATACCGGTACCTGGTGGTACCGTTCTCTTGCCTACGTAAGAACCTATACCCTCTTAATCTCTCTGATAAAGTCGGGGTACCGCTTCGACTATCCGTTATATACGCCCCCGTAATTAGCGTACTTTCGTTTACTAAGTATGGCGTCTTTCTTACGCTAGTAGTCTCGAGAATAATACTTCTTAGCGTAAAAGACGTACTTTGTTTTATTAGAGTAAGTGCTTCCTATATAGCCGTACTTCTAGTAGTTATAGTATTAGCGTATACGCGTAGCCCGGTCGTATAAGACTATGGTAAGTACCTCCGAGTCCTAAAGTATTCTAGTATCGATAGTATTGTTAGCTATATATAGTGAGGTGAACTCGATAATTAGCGAGCCGGATTTCTTACCTTCTAGGAGGATAAGCTACGAGATCTAAGTGATTTCTGTATTATCCCCCTAGTTAAATGAGTTCTCGCTAAGTAATTGCTTTACGATCCCTAGCTTCCGGTCCCTAATCTCTACCGCCGTATTGATACCGAGAGATCGTATATTAACGTCGTAAATAATAACCCCCTAGCTTGGTAAGCGTACCTCCGATCCCTTCTATAAATACTTTACCTACGTATTCCGGTAGTATCGTATAATCTCTACTTCCTTCGTAGTACGAAGAGAGAGCGAGATATCTCCCGATTTTAGTTACTTCGCTATAATAAACTTAGCTGATACTACTGTCACCCTATACGTGGCCTTTACCGCCTTTATACGCGCTCTCTTAGCGAGCTTCGTGATTTTAGTAGGCGTCTGCGCTCGGAAGTATTTAATACTATCGGAATCACCTAGTTTGACAATAATCTAGCGGTCCTAGATAAGGTCGGAAGGCGATACGGGGTTAGTCGACGCCGACCTATAGCTAGATAAGAAGTACGTCGGCGGCGGTGCGCTTTTAACGGTATCGATATACGACCGGATCCGGTTTAATAGAGTGGTATTCACGTTTGAAGAAGTAATTCTCACCGTATATATGTCTTGCTTGATCTGGCTGGTTTCCTGGCGTAGCTATTCAAATTGCTGCTTCTAGTCCTAGCTAATAGGGTTCTTAATAAGATCTATAGTAAGCTCCTAAGTGGACTTGAGGTATTCGAGCACTGGTCTCGGGACTTTAACAGAGGTATTACTGCTAATATGATTTAGTAACTAGCGTACGTCGTAATTGGCGTCCAATATGCGCTCGTTGATGTTGCGTGTAGAATTTTCGCGGCCCCCTGAAAGGGGCGGCCACTGGCTCCCTGGCGCCACTATACCTTCTACCAATATAAAATTGGGGTTAGGAGATGGAGCCGGGAGTTACAATTAACTTGCAATTAAAATGAGAGCTGTAGCCCTCGGCGTTGTGGTGCAATTTCAAAAATTAGATTCGCGCAGAGATATGTGTTTTTTTCCGTCGTAGTCTTGTAACTCGAGGATTCCGCTATTGTATTACTTAAAAATTTGACCCTGTGAGCTGTGAATACATATCCTTGCTCTGTAAAACAATTTAAAATTGGCGAGACTTTGTAGATATGCTAGATCACTATAGAGAATATACCTTAAACCATGAGCTCTGATAATTAATAGTTGTTGGGTAAACGTCGCATTCCATATGGTGTTTTGGGAGTGACCTGGCCAGGGGGTCGTAAGGTGGTGGCGACTTACCGGTGAGTTACCGGGCTGAGTTTATAATCGATAATGAGGAGAACAGTTCGCTGAGGCTGTAAGCGCACGGTCTACAGACCTACTTCATGCGTAAATTAGCTGCAAGCCGACAGAGATTAGAATTTTCCATGTCCTGTCCGTGTAATACAAATGCGTAAATGGCGGTTATAGATATCAAGGTTGGCGCTAAGTCGGAACCTATTGTTAAGCCTAACTAGTCCCGTGAGCTAGGCCGAAAGAGGAGAAAGTGTCATCGAGCCTATGGCATCCACAACCCTGGGAGGTGGGTACCGCGCATTTAGCTTGAAAAGGCTAGGCCGGAAACGGCAAAAAAGTCATCACACGAGGTGGTGGGTACCGCGAATTAAGCTCGGAAGGCTAGGCCGGAAACGGTAAAAAAGTCATCACACGTGGTGGTGGGTGTGAACTATGGAAAGGCCAAGAAAACTAGTTCTCACCGAGATGACCTTCAGAAGTCCGGTGCTTTGAAATACAAACACGTTCTGAGTATCACTTTCGTCCACGGCGTCCTGGACTCTAGGGTTAAATCCGAGTGCTTTGAAATACAGAGCAAAATTCTGTGAACACGGGGCTAGAAGTCTGAAGGAGGAAAAATATAAATAGTTCACCGATGCTTCCAAACGCTGAGTCCTAAACTCATCAAAGCTATTTTTTATTCCAATCATTATCCGGATTTAAACAGCCAAAGTTCTCTTTTCAACACGATGTCCCGTTACGCAGAAGCTCATTCGAACCCTGCTGGCCCCGGCGACGCTCGTCCAACAGCTCTCCAGATTATCAAGGATGAAGCAGTAGAGGGCAAGCTAGCCGGGAAGGTTATCGTCATCACAGGCACTTCATCTGGAATAGGGATTGAGACAGCTCGCGCTCTCTCTCTGACTGGAGCAAGGCTATTGTTGACGGCACGAGACCTAGACAAAGCCAAGTCCGCCCTAGGCGGAATCCTCGAACGAGAGCGCGTTGAACTTGTTGAGATGGACAACACTTCCTTGACCAGCGTGCGTGCTGCCGCGAAAGCCATTCTCCAGAAGTCGAACGGTCAAGTCAACGTCCTTGTCAATAACGCCGGCATCATGGCCCTGCCCAAGTTGGAGCACACCAAAGACGGCTTTGAAATGCAGTTTGGAGTCAACCACCTCGCCCATTTCCTACTCTTTGAGCTCTTGAAGCCAGCTCTCCTCGCCAGCGCTAGCCCTGAATTCTCGTCTCGAGTCGTCAACGTCTCTTCTTCTGCCCATCATGTAGCCTCGATCAATGAATCAGGCAACTACAATTTTGAGAAGACTGAGTACAACGACTGGATTTCATATGGACAATCAAAGACCGCCAATATCTACATGGCCAACGAGATCGAGCGGCGCTACGGGTCGCGAGGACTCCACGCTACCAGCTTACATCCTGGCATGATTGCAACGGCGCTTATGCAGTATATGGACCCTGCAATGTTGGAAGCGTTCAAGAAAGACGAAAAGGCGTATAAACTGATGAAGTCGCCAGAGCAGGGGGCTGCAACGACGGTGTGGGCTGCGATTGGCCAAGAATGGGAGAAGAAGGGTGGAGAATATCTTGCTGAGTGCGGAAAAACCACACGGGGCAACGACAATCATGAGATTGCCGGTGTAGGGTTTGCAGGGCATGCGTATGATGCCGAGAAAGAGGCTCGGCTCTGGAAAGACTCTCTGAAGATTGTGGGGCTGACGGATGATCAGTAGGCGATGTGAGACAGAAAGAGTAGGAATGATGAGGTTACCATATCAGTGTTTCTACCTGACTGCTTTTTGTCATTTACTGCTGCCTTCAGAAGATGTCAGGCTAGATAGTCAAACATAGCGGGAATGAATCGCACGTTTGATAAAGTTCAATCCACCCTATTTCGTCTTGCACTGATGAACTACCTCAACTTTTGGCCATGGCAAGTTCTCGTATAAACTGCCATTTAATTCTAGAAATTCTTATAATGTCTCCTTCTTTACGCGCTATCGTCCTGGATGCATCATTTTTAATCTTATAAATGGGATACCAGCCGCTGAACTACTACTAGGTGGGCGAGAATTAGCCCTTGAAAACATTTGCGTTTGTATATATGGATTCCGGCTTGGAGTGTACTGTTAGAGCCACATAGCTGATCCCATACTCTATTGGAAGTGTCGACAAGATACATAACTAATCCTGCGAATATTTCTTAATGCCATAGTCTTGAGGATACCCACGTGGTAAAAGCTGAAGATATAATTACTGCAAAGGAAAATGACCGCAGCTGTATCGTTTCCGTTCAGTTGTGCAGTGCAAAGTTGTGAGGTCGTTGATAATAAACCTAAAGGTCTGCTTGGGCTCGTTCAGCTGCGCGACCCTAGCTTCCTACTGCACGGATTCTGATATTGAGAGTCCCTTTAAACTTAGCACCGACTCAGTTACGGACGTGAATGTGTCTCCTAATTGACAGACAACTCCAATAGCCACCATACTTCAAGGAAGGGTAGTTTATTTCCGATTTTACGTCACAAAATTTAAATATGATATACATTATATACGTCAGGACAAAGAGAGCGGAAATCCAGCAATAGGCTCTAGGTAGATCCATCAGAATATGGTAGTCCCTCTCACTAAGCTCTTCCAGGGCTTGCGAAAACCCTATCATTGCCATAGGAAAGACCTCAAGTTCTTGCCAGTCTTCCAAGCTTTCGGGTGAGGCTCTGTTGGCTCACCAGTCTCTTGAGATTGGATTGGGCAAATGGGACTATGGGTCATCCTCCGCACTTCGGCGGTTTGCTAGACTCGAAGTCCATATTAAGTCGGAATCAATCAATCATTAGCGAACCACAGCTGAAATGGCAAACGTGAGCATGTAGGCTGCAGTCGAGTCGATAATGATCGTCTACGCCTGAACCGTAATACCATTGGCCATTGTTCCTCCAACATCCACGTCCTCTCCGAGTTTGAACCATAATTCTTTAGTTTTAGGACAGCATCTTTTGCGTCATGCCTACCATGCTCTATACAAGATCGATATTAGATTGGCGAACCGCAGAAAACATATGTAAATGTCGACTGTGCCAGTGCCGACGCATCTATCCTCCAGCTGACGCTGCGTGCGAGAGCGGTGGTGGCGGATAGCCCCTCGACATCGCGAGTCGCATAGGTTCCTCTCCCCTTTTCATCCTCCAGTGATTGCTTATTTCCACCAACTCATCGCAGCCCTCGGCAACCCATGCCCATTTCGCGAGAAAACCGGGCGTGGCCTCCCAACTCTTCATCTCGTGCGGCTCACCCCAGACAATGAGCCCCTTACGCCCGGCGGTCACTTCATCCGGATCACTTCCGGATGAAAGGATTAGGGGCCGTTGAGTCTCGGGAATGTTGGCAGAAACGGACGCGTCTCGTCGTTGCGGGGCTGGCGTCGAGTTCAATAGTTCACCGACGAGGTCCTGCATCAGCTCCCAGGAGTCAAAGCGGCCTTCGTATCTGATAAGGTTGTCGCGGACACGGGGAAATGGGATGACGTTAATCCATGGAGAGTGGTAGTGAGTTTGCTGGATGGTGGTCGGGATGAGAGAGGGAGGGATGTCGGGCTCGAGGGGGTAGAGGGCCGTGTCGTCACGGCAGGGCGAGGCAATGGTGCAGATGGTGGGGTCGGCGGGTAAGGTGTTGAGGATACGCATATTAGAGATTAAGGCGCGGAAGACGTTATACTGAATGAGATGCAGGAGGTGGTCCGAGGACAGGGGAAAAGTAAAGGGCTGGGGGTCCAAATTTAGGGGGGCATGGTTGTGGGCAGTGGATGATGATCCTCGTAGGATAACTGTGCCAGCTGTGGAGGGTGATATGCCTGTGTACGTGTGAGACGGTCGAAGGGAGAAGGATGTGGTTTTTGCGCGCTCTGATGCTAGCGAGATTTCTTGAGAGGGAATATGGTCGGGCTCGTCGAGGCGCCAGCGCCTGACCCGGAATGGACGCGGCTCCTGAACATTCCCCGAGTCTCCGCCCTTGAGACGTAGTCCTGTAGGGGTTTCTGAGTATAGGACGGGTTATAGTAGCGAGGGGCATACTTACGGTGTGCTCTTTGATTCTTCCGGTTCTGGACTTTCCTGCGCTGCTTGTTGGCCTCAGCCTCGGCTTCTGCGTCACGACCGTCGACGGCCTGTCTCGCTTCGCTCTGGGGCCAAGAGAGCTGAGTCCCGGCATACTCCATCGTCCCGGTTTAGCGAAAGCCTAGTTCTGTGTACTGTAATGTTCGAAATGTGATATCTAAAAGTGAGGAAAGCAGACGGACTAGTCCTAGTCCTAGTTTGGGGCTGAGATATATATCGGCCGCCGCTTAAGATACGCTAACGTAATCAGCCTATCCTAACCCTGCGACTAGTTAATAACTAGGCCAAGAGCATGTGTCATCGAGTCCACGGCGTCTAAAAACTCCGAAAGGCGCCCTATCCACATAGCTTAGGGAGGCTAGTCCGGAAACGGCAATAAAGTCATCGCTCTAATGAAGAGTGGGGTCGTAGCATTTGCCGGGACCACATCAAACCTTGGCTATCGTATCCACCCAGTTTTCGTGATTCGTTGGGACGAGTTCCTTCGCCCGCTTTACCAGTCCCAGTCCCATCTTTCTTTTTCTGGTGGCCTGAACTGATCCGGACCCGAACACGGAACATAAGATTCACCGTCGCCACTATCTGTTTCAACCTCGGCATCTTGGCTCCACATTTCTGACCCAGAGGAGTAGCATTTACAGGGACGGCTTCGACTTCAAAGAGTCTTCCCTGTCGTACGCCTTGTGCCATGCTCATCTCTCGACCTGTCCCACTGCTGAATCTTCTCTTGGCTATCATCAACTTCTTTTCGGCCGTTTGCTCATCCACTCGTGCTATCCCAATCGTGCGAGCCAGTTCCACAATCTCCATTATTAGCCCCCAATACCTCGAAGGCCATGTTTACAGTCTGTTAAATTTACGTCGAAGTTGTATGGCAGCATTAAACCCCAATTTATGCGACAGTGAATAGAATGTACTAGTAAGTTAAAGGTCCTCGCACTAGTTCAATGAGATCGTGATTCTTTCCCAACGTGAATCGTTGTTTTGAATACTCGCCTATAAAAATATGCAGGTCATTTTCTTTTGTTGAAAAATGAACACCCTCAACTGCTTTCGCAACTCCATCGAGCAAGGCCCTATTCCGAGTGGCTTTTCATCATTTGCGGTGAGAAGAAAGTCTGTTTGAATGACATACTATCTTCAGGGGCAATTAGTATGTTAATTATTTCAGACTTGAAACTTACTGTATTGCTGTCCTGGATCAGGCTATCGTCGTTGCCTACGTATTTCCAATATATACATTCAAAGTCTGAGAAAACACCTAGCTACTGCTATGCACGTAGATCACTAAGCTGCCTTCTCACTCTACCTCCTCACATGTCCTTCTTCAGAGAACCACTTTTTTCATCCCACCAAATAGGGCTGATGATCCCATAATCCGAGCCTCGCATTTAGAGAACGGTACTTTGTGCCTTCGTAGTGCGTTAGCTAATCAGTTATGAAGCTATAGTCACCCGATCTACTTAGTAGTCGTTGTTTATACCTTTATGCCTTACGTAGAACATTCTACGTTTGGAAAACAACAGCCTCCTTAAGGAGATGCTTCGTAAGTAGAGCTATATCCTAGTAAAGCTAGACCTCCCTAAAATTCAATCTATCTATAGCCTCGGCGACGTTAGTAGGGCCGATAATAGAGATCTAGCTAAGTGGGACGCTGATAGTCGGCTCTTCGGTGTCGTTTCTAGGAAGCTAGATAATACGGTGATAGTGGTTATACTACTATTATTTTTAACTACCTATAGGGTATAGACGTCATGTCGTAGTCTTTTGGCAGTGCAGTGCAATTAACAATGGTGGTATAGACAAATCGAGTACACATCTTGATGATTTTCAGGCAGGGTCTAGCTCGGGTTAGATATCCTTAGATCAGGGCCCGGATTTGAGCGATCGGTACGAAGCTTACTTAAGAGGCAAATCAAACTATGAGCTGCGGAACTAACTTCTTTGATAGAAAGAGTGAGGATACCGAGGGAAAGCTGCAACTTTATAGTGCGAAATGAAGAAACAATAGAAAATAAGTAATCGCGACCATCCTCAATGGATACCACCAATCCCTGTCAATTCGTAACACGGGAGTGATTAACATAGAGAAATCTCCAAAGCCACATGCTCAGCGGCAATAACTGTGTGGGGGCTATTGTCAATAAAGACAGGGTTTAAACCCGAGGATCAAATTCGCAAGCCCGGGTATCGGCGTGCAAGAGCTTGAAAAATGAAGTAAAGAACTGTTAAATAGTCAGATTTGAGCACAGATAATGAACAGGACGATAAAAGCAAGTTACTCACCGGCAACAACAGTACCACGGATGGCTCCGGCCTTGACACTTCCTCCGCCCAGAGTGAGGATAAAGGGTATCCAGCCGAAACTCAACTTGCGCCCACTTCGATCAAAATCGGGTTTGAGGAGACCGATGGCCTTGTATCCGCTCAACTTACCCGCGTATGGAGGATACCGGACAGATAGGATAGGTTCGAGCCAGCTCGGACTGGAAGTGATAGGGCGGCGATGAACCCACACGTCAAAGCTGGCGCGGCCACGGTAAGCGCCATGGCCACTCTCACCGACACCACCGAAAGGCAGAGTCGGGATGTGCAGGGCCCCGTCGTTACAGGAGGCGCCGCCGGATCGAGTGGATCGTAGAACTAGAATGTATCATTAAGAGTGTCTCCCAACATTAATATCAAATGAAGGGAACTAACTGTGTTCAACCTCTGCTTTATTTCCAAATGGATGCAGATTCAGAGGGGTGCTCATGAGGCCATTAGCTAGCTCGATAGCCTCGTCCAGACTGTCCACTGGGAGAACTGGAATAAATGGACCAAAGCTTTCCTGCGAGCACATGGAGTCGTCAATCGATTTGACTTGGACAACTGTCGGTTCGATAAAGAGTTCATCCTCATCCATCGTGCCGCCCATTACAATCTTGCCTTCGGTGTTCTCGAGCATTGACCGAAGTCGCCGGAAGTGATCTTTGCTCACGATACGTGAGAAATCCGTTGAACCTTCCGCTCCATTAGGGTAGAATTCCTTGTAAGCCTTTTTGAATTCATCCACAACCGAAGACAATAGTGGTCTCTCAACCAATAGGTAATTCTGCGACGTACAGAGCTGACCAGCGTTGAATACCTTTCCCCAAAGCATACGGCGTGCCACTAGCCTTGGGTTCGCATTCCTAGACACAATAGCAGGGTTAATTCCGCCTAGCTCTAGGATAACAGGAGTTAGATGGGGTGCCGCGGCCTTGGAGACAATCCGGCCGACGTTGGCACTACCGGTAAAGAAGATTTGATCCCATCGCTCTGCTAGCAATGCCTGCGTCTCAGGGATAGCCCCCTGAATTATTTGATAGCATGAAGGGTCAAGTCTCTCAACAATCTTTTGCATGAGAGCTGCACTTCGAGGGGTGGCTTCGCTTGGTTTAATCACCACCGTATTACCCGCAGCGATAGCCCCGATGACCGGGCCAAGGGTTAGTTGGAAGGGGAAGTTGAACGCGCTAGGTAAGTTGAAATACTTGTTAGTTTTCCTTGCACAGCCTTTTTCTTGCGGGTAGAAGCCCGCATGTTAATTGTAGAACGTACCCAATAACTAACACACAACCAAGCGGGTCTTTCCTGATCTTCGGGCTGGTGAATTTGAACATGAACTCAATATCAGGGGCCTTCTCATCTTTCACCCAAGTATGCAAGCTGCGCGTGGGCAAGACGATATCGTTCAGGAGGTATCCAATCTCTGCCATCTCTGTTTCAAAGACGGGCTTATTCAGATCCTGAGTACAAGCTTCGACAATTTCCTCCCCGTGATCTTTGATGCTGTCATAGATTGTAAGTCATATAATTCACGAATGTCCTGTATAGAACAAAAGCAAGGTTCAAAGGACTTACGCCCAGTAAAGCTTGCGCAGCTGGATCAGACGGAACTCGACATCGCGTGTCTTGTGGTTCATGAAAGCCTGGCGGGTGACCGACACGCGCTCGGGAATGTCATCGAGCGGAGTAAACTGCAGTTCAGGAAGATTAACGCCCATCGTGGGTTTGGAAATCGGATATTTTTGTCACGATGTGCAATTTGAATTAGAAAACTGGAAATTGTGAGCGTTTAAGGTCTTAAGCACTTGAAGGTGCGAGCTTGGAATAAATGTATGGTGATTTCTTTCTACTTCCAGACAGGTCTATTGTCCCGAGGTCCCTCTGTTGATGATATTACATGACTGCCCTGTGTTCTCTTGTTTCATACAACTAAAACTCGGTGTATTTAACAAGCTCTAATCAAGAGCTGGTTATTAATCATAAATTTGATTACGCGCCTCGGCCCGGTATGAAAGAGTGGATAGTTGGCACAGCCAGAACTTATCAGCAGCTTGGTAACCCCCTTTTGCTGAAAGACGTTGCTTTTCTCAATTCTGCATTTAGATCAAGAACCCTAAGAAATCTACAGAGGAAAAACATCTCAAAGTCTATGTGCAATGGAACCACCTCTTTCGCCAACATGGCTCCAAGTATGTCTTTATAGTTCCCACATACTACCAGATCTATGCTCATTGTCCCACAGATTGAGCAAACCATTGGCCAGAGGCCACAATTCACAGGAGACGCATTGTCTATAAGACAGCAATACAAGTCATTTGCAGACCAAGCCAATAGTTCATGTACGAAGTCCGCAAACCTCAGTATTGGTAAGTTACGACCTATGTGACAATTTTTATGGGTAATCCCAGTCTTAATGAAACAACAATACAGAGGATATAAAAATCTTGCCTCATTTGACAGCTAGGGTGTACCTTCCTATGAAGTCGGAAGGAAGCCAGCCACTGCCCGTTGGCGTTTATTTCCACGGCGGTGGATGGTGCTGTGGTGACTTGGACACCGAAGACCCTTTCTGCCAACTCGTTGCTGAACACTTACCTTGTGCCATTGTCTCGGTGGAGTATCGTTTGGCACTTGAGCACAAAAGTCCAACTCAGCTTGAGGATGTCCTTGAAGGCTGGAACTGGGTAAAATCACATTTCAAGGCTTGTTCCGACCATGCTAATAGATTCCACGCATTCAGAAACTCTTCAAAGCTGAACGGAGATATCCAAAAATACTTTGTCATCGGGCAAAGTGCTGGAGCCCACCTAGCCCTTACTTTGGCAAACAAGCTTGTGAACTTGAATCGCCAGGGCGAGGTCCGTGGTATAGCAGCTTTGGTACCGATTGCTGCTCATCCTGACCACATTCCCGCTACAGTATGTCGATAAGTATCGATCATTCAAGGATTACGCAAATGCGCCAATGAATTCAGCCCGTGCTATGATCGAGTTCTTTGGTTTGTGCTCATTCTACGAACATGTTTAATCAATATTAATACTAACCTGTGCCATACAGATTCCGTGGGAGCGAGTCCGTAGGACCCGGAGTTTTTCATCATAAACAACGCCAATTTTGACAAGTTTCCTGCAACTTATTTAGCCGTTTGCAATGTTGATCCCATTCGCGATGACGGTTTAATCATTCATGACGTTTTGAATAAGGCCGGGTAGGTCCTGCCCCCTCTTGCCCCTACTGGTATACCGACCTAATCACTCGAGGTAATCATAGGGTTCCAACAAGGATTAACCACTATGATGGGCTACCTCACGTTTTCTGGGCTTTGGGATGCCCTACGCCAAGTGGAACCTTCCTGAGTGATGTAATTGATGGCATTAACTTTGCGATCAGTTGATAGATCTACGACACAGAGAAGACATAATCTATAGCATGGAGTTCATGGCTGGCGCCCTCTATATCTCTAATAGTTGGTAACACTCGGTGTCACCTTAAAAGGCTGTTTTTTTTGTAATTCAAAGTCGGGCTAGTCAAATCCAATGGCAGGGAACATTGGACATCAAATAATGGAAATAGGCCTTAGGCGAGGTCGACTGCACATTCATGAAGAAAGGGGCTGCATCGAAAATATCTGTGAATTCCCCTGAAACAATGATCTCGGATCTATCTGATGTGACTTTATAATATAATTTTGCTAGTCGGTGGGTTGGCCCATTCACCCTGGCATACCAAAGCTGAAAGCCTTGATTTATTCGTGTTTTGTTTTGTCAAATACCCCAAAGGTCATGTTAACGGTCTTTTAATTTACGTGGAACTTGTATGGCGGAATTAAACCCGATTTATGCGAAAGTGGACAGAATGAACTAGTCAGGTAAAGGCCTTCGTACCAGTCTGATGAGCCGATGATTCTTTCCGAATATGAATCGTTGAATTGCAGTTTTGGGCCTGGCTATGGCCATTACCTGCCTATTTCCAATATATACATTCAAAGCCTGAGAAAACACTTGATAGCTACTGCTGTACATAGATTGCTATGCTGCCTTCTCACTCTCCCTCCTCACGTGTCCTTCACAGGAGGACTACTTCGTTCATCCTCCCAAATAGGGCTAATAATCCCATAATCCGAGCTTCGTAGTTCGAGAGAGGTACTTTGTATCTTCGCAATGCGTTAGCTGACCAGTTGTGATGCTCTAGTCACCGTATCTACTTACTGCTGGTTGTTTATGCCTTATATAGAACATTCTGTGTTTGGAAAACAACAGCCTCCTTAGGGAGATACTTCGTGAGCAAAGCTGTATCCCAGTAAAGCCAGACCTCCATGAAATTCAATCCATCCACAGCCTCGGCGACATCAGCAGGGCCGATGATAGAGATCCAGCTAAGCGGAATGCTGACAGTCGGCTCTTCGGTATTGTTTCCAGACAGCCAGATATTGCGGGTCCACTGGGTCATAATGGTGGTTGTACCGTCACTATTTTTGACTTCCCAGAGGCTGTGGAAGTCGTGTCGCAGTCTTTCAAATTGTCCGAAAAGACGCTTCATCCACGCCCACATCTCGTCTCCGCCATTATACTGGGCGTTGTTCTGGTTGTGGAAAATGACGTTTTTGGAATAGAATCGTAAGCCAGATCCGTGGTTGAAGCCGTAGGAATCAACTGTATCAACATATTTTTTGAAAAATTGTTGAGCTGGGGTTTCTGGTCCGGACGCATCCCAGGTAGGGGCGGAAACAAAGCTTACCAACTCAGGCATGATTAGAGAAAAAAAGTGTACGAAAGGTGATCTGGATTGATATCTTGATATTCGCAAGCATCTTATAGTTAGTTACGCCACGACCGAAAGCCGAAAGGTCTGTGCTGCGATTTCTTGATTATATATTGCCGAGGTGCAAGTCTTTTCACATATTCGTAATCTATGGAATGTACTACAAAGCCAGCTTCCAAATTTCCGATGACAGCACAAACTGACGGAAAGCTGGTGTACGAACAATGTATGGTATAAATGACCAATGTTGACAACTCTAACTAAAATGACAAAACCCGCTATTTCAACAATCTATGCGGACCATGATGACTAACTGTAATATGCACTTTTGTATGGTATGCCTAGTACCCAATGTCACATGATGTTTCCGGTATATTACCTGGTTTCTACCATGTATTCGGACTTGGTATTCGACACAAACTATAAAATACTATGGGTCAAGAAACGGACTCTCGGGTTCCCGAGGTTAATGATCAGTAATCCCTCGCCACCTTAGTTCTTCACCGATATTTGGGTCACAGTTCCATTGAACTATACCCAGCATTTATATGGAGACATAAGAACAATTTTTTTAATTTATGTATGCCAAATCTCTCTTCATCCATCACAATTGATTTAACCCCAATTCTCCACAATATGGGTCTCGACTACAAAGTATTCACCAGCAGACGTTCCGGCGTGAATCGGTCCACACCAGCCGGTCACGATCATCTCAAGTGGGTGCCGACCACTTCGACCTTGATATTCGGCCAAAAACATGCGGTGCTGGTCGATACCCAGTTAACCAAGGCTGCTGCCGAAGAGTTGGTAGACTGGGTAGTAGCCACTGGGAAAAGCCTCATGACGATTTATGTCTCCCATGCCCACGCCGATCATTTCTATGGTACCGGTGCGCTTCTCGAGAAATTTCCAGAGGCAAAGGTCGTGGCTACGCCGGAGACTGTCTCTCGGATGGCTGAAGCCATATCTCCCGAAGGCATGGACGCCTTTTGGAGAAATCTTTTCCCTGGTCAGATCCCGGAAAAGCTCGTGATGGCCACCCCCCTCGAACAAGACCACTTTATGCTAGAAAACGAGCGATTGGAAGTGGTTAGACTGGGCCATACGGACACAGATGATACAACGGCTCTCTGGGTGCCTACAATTGGCTTGGTTGTTGCGGGTGACGCAGTCTACAACAACACCCACCCGTACCTTGGAGAATCGAAATCCCAAGAGGCCAGATTGCGATGGGTGGCAGCGCTCGATAAAATTGCGACACTTAAGCCGAGAATTGTTGTTGGAGGTCATAGTGACCCATCTAAGGGATTCTCCCCCGATGCTGTCCAAGCGACCAAGGATTATTTGGATGACTTCGCGCGATTGGATGGACAAACATCCACTCCTGAGGAATTATACTCCCAAATGATGGAGTTGCATCCCACTCGATTGAATATCGGCTCGCTATGGGGAGGTGCAACGCTCGTGAAGAAATGATCCTTATGTGTGGTCTCAATGTTGACTGAGTAACCAGCCGCTTGGTTTAGTGCTCCATGATTCGGTACTACCTTAGGATAACGAAGAGCACATTACTTGGCATTATGAGAGAAGTCTATTTTTTAAAAAAATATCTGTACGAATAATGCACTTTTCTGTTACTAACAGGTATGGCCATAGGTATACTGCTGAGTGGCAGAAACCGATCCTCGCAGCCTTCTCATTATAGTCTAGACTCGAAATTTATGCATATCGAGCGCTCAATCTCAAGGCTCAATCATTAATATTTGTGTCGTGGCTGTTTTCTTGTCAAATAGGTCGCAACTTTAAATACACCAAGACAAGTCAAAGAGGACGGTACTTTTGTGGGTTCTCTAAATGTATTTTGGAGCGAGAAAACACTATATGCAACAAAAGGAATGTCAAATTGAATCACATTTTCTTCTGCGCAGGAAACCCTCGAGAACTCAATCCAAACTCGTTGCGCCTGCGTCTCAAGAAGAGCCAAGCCATTTCCCTAAAAACTCAATCTGTCCTTTAATGTTCTGTTCAAACCAATCTCCAGTATAGATATCAAAATGACCTGCGCCATCAATATACAAAAGCTGCTTTGGCTCTCTGGCCTTTTCGTAGGTGGCCATCTGAGATGCCGTGGTGACAAGGATATCATTCCCAGGAACAACCATCAACAACGGAGTCGGCGAGATACGATGCACCATACCCTGTCCTTCAAACGCAAGCATATTGAGCTGTGTCTGAACCGTAACTGAATTCTCCCAACGACCACCGCAATCGTACGAACCACGCACCTGCTCGTAAGCATGAACACCGGGAAACATGGCAGTAGTGGTCCCTGACTGTGCTGCTTCCAAGTTTTCCGCAATAAGCGGAATCATTTCTGGTTCTGATCCTGCAGTGATACGAGCGCGCTCTTTCAAAATGCCTAGGATGCGGTCTTTGAAGGCCAAGGATCGCGTCTCTCCAGAAACTGCAGGGCACTGTACAATAGCAGCTTTGATTCGTTTATCCACAGCGGCTGCGTATAGAACATTTCCTCCGGAGAAACTGGTGCCCCAATACACTATGCGAGTATCATCCACACTAGGGAATGATGTTGCGAAATTGAACGCATCGTAGTAGTCGGCTTGTTGAAGAGCCGGGTTTGACTCTTGTCGCGGTAGTCCATCACTGTCACCCCAGTTCCGATTATCATAGAGGAGTACATTGTACCCGGCTTGCTGGAATCGATCCGCGAAATCCGGGAGCCAATGGTGGCGGACACCACCCAGCTAGTTGTGGCAAACGGATGAGAATTAGCTAATTTCATCGAAAATCCAATATCTCAATATCTCATGGAGTACGCACCCCGTGGGTCATGATCACACATGCCGATTTCTCAACTTGAGGATAGAACCATCCCCGGAGCATAGTGCCATCACAAGTTTTGAACTCAATGATTTTACGAGCAAGGACCATTGTTGCAGAGATATTGATTGTTCCAGGTGTAAGTCGAAATTGAAAATTGCCGAGTTGGCTGTTTGAGAACGACAAATAAATTAGCACAGGCGATATTATAATGTTGTCTTCCTGTTCTTTGCGAGCCTCGGTTTTACAATGGATAGGTAATCCAAAAATGATCGAACCTCCGTGAGCTTTTAATTACGTTGCTTTAGCCGACCGAGGTTGCTCAAATCATCAGCCAAGACATAAACTAAGTTTTCTATTATGCCGAACTGGCGATCGCGTTTACTTTGTTCGTTTTGATTGGTATAGATGTGTTCAATAATATTCGATTGACAAACTGACCAATACAGAATCAAGTTGGATATTGAAAGGAATATAGACGCTGCAGTAACCTCCTACGAATATGGCTCTCCAATCGCTCAATATAAGTCACGCATCACGAGCGATAGAAAGAAGTAAGCGACACAAAAAAAGCATCTTTTCATCCATGTGTTGACCGCATACTGCGAAGGTGTATCCTGGCCAGGGGTCGGAAACTAATATTAGTAATATTGATGCCTAAATGTGCCTGAATATTTGCCGGCAGAAAATATGAATACCTGAATTACAATAACAAAGCCCTTGTAAAGTAATGTGTACTTGAATTCTTTCATTTCTCCTTAAGGTCGATAACGTATTTCACATACGAGCCGCTACCACAAGCGAGCCGCCCACCCCAAAACACATAGTAAATGCAATAAATTACAGCTTGATTTCTCAACAACGGCAGTTTATATAGAGATTTCGTTATAGGCTAATGCTTTTTACGTAATTTCTAGCTTTTCTAGGGAGTTTGGGAAATATATATAACCTTGTGATTGCGATATATATATATATTTCTGGCTTTTTACACTGTAATTTTCAATACCGTAATAATGTACCTCTTCGATTTTCTTAATATTGATATATAGTATTTAAAATCCTTATCAATAGTTATCGATACATAATGAAATCAATAAAAAGCGCGGTTGTTAAGATATAGGGTTATAAAATATCGCGTTTACTATGTGTTTTGGGGTGGGCGGCTCGGTGGTGAAATACGTTACATACCAGTCACCTTAAAAGGAAGAACTTCAACTTGAAATTAAACAAATGGGGGGGGGGGTTTTTTTCTCTCTTGTTATATTTAAATACTAGAAACAAAGGATGATAACATGGCTAATCACCGTTTCTTTCCAGTCCATCCAGGTCACTCGAGAGGTCTTGTAAGTAAAACAGCATGTATACGCAATCAAGAAGCATGTAATTCGGTTGTCGACGGAAGTTCCCAAGTATCCTCATGCGCCATCACAAAACCTCCTCCACCTCGAAGCCTTGTTCAACGGAGCAATCCAACCTTAAGAAAATGGAGCCCCTTCACCTGGCTCATCTACCCCAAGAGCAAGTTTTCCCACAGTGGTTGCAGACTCAATTAGCCGATGAGCTTCCTTCAGCCCAGCAAGATTCAACTTAAGACGTTTGTTGAGGTTTGGTACCAATTTTCCCTCGTCTATGCAACGGGCCAAGATCCCAAAGATTCGGCGATAATTCTCTAGATTCGTACCATGATAAGCTGACGAGCCTAGCCAGTCCCACGAGAAGGTCATCGATTTTGACATAAATTCGGTCCCATAGAGATCGAACTTGGCTTGCACGATTGAGCAAACTTTGGCGAAGGGTGCACAGATTTTGCCCAGGGCGTGGATATATTGCTCCGTCCTTGCGACCACGTAAACGTACCTGGAATTAGTAGTGTCAGTTTTTGAGATGCAAAGAACACGACAGCAAGAGAAGGCGGAACGTACCGGATTGGGACATCCAGGTTCAAGGCTTTGATCTGGGACTCGAGATCCACCCTATGATTCACAACATGGGTGGCACCCATTTTCCTGCATGACTCCATCGTCTCAGGTCGGGATGCAGTTGCAATAACCACGGGAAGTTGCAAAACTTTCCTGGCGATTTGGATGGCAGCGCTTCCAACTCCACCTCCGCCATTGATCTAGAACAGTCAGATGTGTGTTCGAAATGCAACCAAGGTAGCAATTGCCATTATAACATTAATTATTCAAGGTATTAGTGAAACTCACAATCAGAATACCAGTGTTTTCGTTCTGCTTAATCTCCAGCCTGTCAACAAGAGACTGGTATGCTGTACCGAAGGTCAGGCCCATACTAGCGGCTTCCACGAAGTCAAGCGACTTCGGCTTCTCGGCACAGAGACGTTCATCAACTAGGAGGTACTCTGCAGCACTGCCCTGGCGAGTAGTGGAGCTCACGTAGAAGACATCATCGCCTGGCTTTAAATTTGTGCACTCAGGTCCGACCTCCAAAACGGTTCCGGCACCGTCAAACCCAATGATATGGAAATCCTTAGGCACAAACTTGTAGTAGTCTTTATTTGATAAGCATTACAGTCTTCCAAAAGCAAAACGGAGCAGGGTCATTACCTGGAGCGTCATCATAAGTCCCTTTGCGGACTTTCGTGTCGATAGGATTCACAGAACAGGCCTTGACTCTAAGTGACGTCAGAATCAATGTGACGGTACATAGAATGGGAATACTCACTGCACGAGAACGTCCATTCCTATAGGGCTCCCCGGTCGTGGAACGTCGCGGGACTCGAAATTGTCGACTGAGCCATACTTGGCAACTCCAATTGCTTTCATTGTTTTTGTTTCCATCGTGACAACGGTTAGATTTTTCTCACAAGGAACCTAGGAAGGGAGTTTGACACCTATTATACCTTTCAGAAAATCTGAATCATGTAATTTCAAACCGAGGTTTGTGAAATATGATTAGGATATCCTGCTGCATTTATGATTATTCTTCATACTTCGGAGCGGTAACCCCCGAACTCCGACCTCGGCACCCTAAAACATCGGGCCGCCACTTTGATGGTCGAATACCAAGTCTGAATACATAACGTTAGTTCACTACCGAATGGCCACCACCCCCGAGTGGCCACCCTAAAACACCATAGTAAATGCGATATTTTACAACCTTATATCTCAGCAACCATATTATTATTTGATTTCATTGTTATTCGATAGCTATCGATAAGAGTTATTAATACTTTATATCAATTCTAAAGAAACCTAAAGCCTATATTATCACTATCTTAAAAAATACCGAAAATTACGTTAACAGATACTAGAAATATATATATCTCAATCATAAAGTCATATATACTCCTAAAATTCCGTATAGAGGCTATATATCACCTAAAAAGAATTAAGCTATTAAGAAATAGCCATATAGAGTACCGTTGTCAAGATATCAAGTTGTAATCTATCGCTTTTATTATGGTGTTTTAGGGTAGCCGCTCGGTGGTGAAATACGTTAGTAGAAACCAGGTAATATACCGGAAACATCATGTGACAAGGTACTATACAAAAGTATATATTATAGTTAGTCATCGAGGTCCGCACAGATTGTTGAAATAGCGGGTTTTGTCATTTTAGTTAGTTAGAGTCTTCAACATTGGTCATCTATACCATACATTGTTCGTACACCAGCTTTCTGTCAATTACAACTAGAATATGAGGACCTATGAAAATGGCGCCGAAAGTGACCACATTTGGCGCCAGAAACGGCCGTCTTTCCACCTGTAACTTTGGAGGGCGAGCCGGCGCTTCACCGCCCACCGTCCAGTACCATCGCTATTTTGCACCCACCTAGCGCCGTTAGTCATCATCTTCCGGCTAACACCAGGTAGTGTGTTAGTGAAAAGGTGACACGATTATCCTAAATATCTTGCCATCTATCAGGCAAGCCATCATTTGCCATCTCTCATATTTGGCCAAAGGGAATATTGGGCGTTAGAAACAATGTATCAAATAGTGATTGGCCAACGAACAGTTCAAACAGCCGTCATAACCTTAAGTTTATTATAGTAAAACTTTTAGCCTCGGACAAATCCGCCTACCATACAAACCATGCTCCACAAGGCAGCACGATAATTTGGAATCCGCCTAGGCCACCGAACAGGTAGAGGCGTGTGTACAACATAAAGTTTTGTGGAAATGTAGTGCGTAAAAACGATTCTCCGAAGTCGATGATCTTGACCGATTAGTCAGCTTCCAAGAATATTTCCGACATGAGGTGGGCCTGCCGATATATCCAGGTATGCTAGGCTTTCGTCTTTTCCATCTCTCCTTCGGACATAGCCAATTTCTGGTTTTCCTAGCATCTCAGTAAACTCTTCTTGGGCTAAATTATCCCCACGTTTTGGAAAATTCAACTGGCTATTTCAAGCTCCCGAGAGCGCAATTAGGCGTGGGCCGCACGACAGCTGGGGAAGCTCAAGTCAAAGCTCCGGGTAGAACTACGCGGCTCATCTCATGGCTTTCTCACTACTACTTACGGCATTTGAACCCTACGTTGATATCCCATTCAACGTATGGCTTACCATTATCCTCATCCTCACCTATGGGTGTGCTCTTCGAAACCCGGGCCTGCTTTTGCTCATCGTCCTTGGGGTCAGCGCGACTATATTCGTATTTAACACAACTGCTACTCTCGGCGAAATGACCAAAACCATGTGTTTGCTTCCCTTAGGCCTCGGCTCTGTCTTAACATTCCTCGTTGCGGATCGGTCTTTGCAGGCGAGGTTTCTACCCGCCTTTACGACCTATGTTAATTTTGCGGTGTACGCAAACATTGGCATGATGGTCGGGACTCCTACGGGCGGCACCCTTCGGGGAATGTGCAGCAAAATCACTTGCGTTGCCCTCTTCATTTGGATCGTCCAAAAAGGACACCGTGTTGGATGGAAGACAGTCAGAGTTCACGACAACTTGTTCGTCTTCACTGCCGTCAGCAAATCGTGGATATTTGCACACGCATGCTATCGATTTGTTCTCTTGACTTTGCCGTGCTTTGGGTCTGGACGCCGGCATCGCCTTCTAGAGTTGTACTCTCTCACTTTAACATTTGCCCTGTCGTCGACTTCAAAACTTCCATTCGAGTATTTCTTTGGAATGGCCGATACATTGGTTGTTCCGGCAATTGCAGGATGGTCGGCAATTGCAACAATGTTCAATCTAATACCGCGCGATACGGTAAACGACGACTTACTCTCGAGTCGTATCGGGACTGGTGCAGATGCATTTCTGAGCGCGGTGTCACTGGCTGTTGCCGCCTTTGCTTGTTTTAAGATAGCTAGCGCTCCGCGATGAGGTTCGTGAGAATGATGGACTCATCTATTGATGAATTTGTAAAATTTTCTATAGTTTGACACTTTCTCTGGTGGGGCCATTTAGTTAAGATAAGCTATGCACGACAAAGTGGATTGCCGGATCAGTTTGTGCGTCTGGTTGGTCTTTCGTTGATTCTTGCCAGTGTACAAAGAAAGAGTGAGAGGAATGCTCTTTTGAAACTTGGCCCTACTTCCTCGCAACGGCGATGTAGCCTCTGACCACATCTGTTCTGCACCACCAATCGAACATCCTCGCTGCGTACTGAAAGTGACCAATTGACAAGCCATGCCGTTCCACTTCAGGTTCCGTTCTCTAAAAAGTTGCGGATCTCAATGATTTCTCGTGCGTAGCCGGCCGTGACAAGTCGTTCCCGATACTCTTGAATTGTGACCCAATTCGCGAACGGACTCTGGCCAGGGAAAGCCATCAATTCGAGGTTAATGCACTGCCCCACGGGCGGGTTCTCTAAGCTCCTTAACGACAAGAAGAGCTCTACACGTTCCAGCACGGGAAAACTTATTAAAAACCTCGAGTCTCAGCTCCTCAATCTTTGCCTTGTGCTGCTTTCTTATGGTAGCAACTGAGCTAGGCACCAAAACCTACCTCGAAATGATCCTGAAACTTCGAGACTGGTGGGATCAATTAAGCATCCAAAGGCGTTAGCCGATATAGCACGCGTGACTTGCGAAATAGAAGGTCTCGAATATGTGGTGACTGGTGAGATACCGAGCATACGTTCTAATGAACATTAATTTACACTATTGCACAGGTAATATCCTAGAGGACCATGGAATCCAGGTCAGTGAACGTCCAACAAATCCTTCGAAATGCTCACTTTTACTGTATCGCGATGAGATACCAATGCTCCAAGTCAGCCTCCCAAGCGAGGCACCATAGCAAGCCATCGGCCTTAGCACTAGTCATCTTGTCAATTTCCTTTTGACTTACGAAAGATTGAGCAACCGGAAAGCCATCGTGAGCTTGTTGCAACAGTACGAACTAAGCTGCCCGATTCTGAGTGTGAGCAAGGCAGAATCTCTTTTCGTCTCTATGATCTGTCGTTGTTCGGCACATATTCGTCGCAAAAGATACCAAGCTTCCAGCTAGATCAGGTGTGCCGAGCGATCGGCGATCCAAGGCTAACGGAAATCATCTGCTCTAACATGTATTCCTCTTTAGGGTCAAGTCGCAACTCTCAATGTATGATGATGGACCTCAGGCCCATTTCTATGCATAACTACAGTCTTGGCGTTCATAAACCTACCGATTAATGTCCTATTTTTTACGCATGTTCTGGTCTGTAAGCTTACCACGGAAGATCTCGGCCCGAAGCCCAATTCAGGCATTCAGCTTTGACAGAGTATCAATATGCAGGGATATATATCTTATAAAGTAGGTACATCTTTCTATTCAAGTACTACGGATTTTGCGCGCGGGTGATAGCCTAAGGCCGCCGAATAGTTAATATGGAGCGAAGCTTTTAATGCTAATGTAAATACTATAGTGGCACACTTTCATTAGGCACGTAGAAATTCCGGGCCCGTGTCGAAACGGGAGTTTACTGTATTCTTGGAACCCGCTTGTGGAAGAGTGCGTTAACACAGAGTTTCCGTGCCGTCTCCAAATGGGCATAGCGTTAGAATCATCCTATTTCAATCAACAAGGTCGCTTTATTTTATCAAGAAACTAACTCATGCTCTATCGGCATTTGCATGCTTGGAGCGGATTTTTCCGTTGATTTTATTAAAATGGCCCTTGCCTTTGACAAAGTGGTGCTATTTGGCGACTCTATTACTCAGCTCGCGTACGATCAAGGATGCGGGTTCTGCTTTGGACCAGCAATGCAAAATGGTAACTATTTCTGCTTGATATTTGCGATTTAGGCAAAGAGGGTAGTTTCATGCAGTTACCTGACATGGTTAACAGCATACTGTCGCAAATTTGATGTAATCCAACGCGGGTTCGGAGGCTATAACTCCGACCATGCTGCTACTATTATCAAACGCCTTGTCGACCAGGAGACGGCCGTGAAATCCGTTATTAAACTTATGGCAAGTACTTCATTTCGGAGCTAATGTTTCTTGTTCGCCCTTTCAAAGGACGTTCTAGACTAATAGTATAATTTCCTAGATTGTTTTCTTCGGCACAAATGACTCCATCGTCCCTGAATCGGCGAACCACGTCCCTCTAGCAAGATACAAAGAGAATCTTAGGCAAATCGTCGCCACAATCGAGCAAGCTGGTGCTAAAGTTGTTCTCGTTGGGCCAGGCCCCTTTAACCATCACCAGTTCGTGGCGGCGAATGGAAAGGATTTCTTCTGTGATCGGACTACCCTTCGTGCGCGTGCATACTGTGACGCGGCCATGGAGGTTGGCGTAGAGTTGAACGTCCCAACAGTTCCGCTCTGGTATCTCGTAATGGAAGAATTGGGCTGGAAGGAGGGTAATGCGATCTATGGTCTAGCGGAACTTCCTGCTGACAATCCCCTAAACGAGTACCTGAGCGATGGTCAGTTAAAAAATATTATTCCCTCAGGCATCACACAGACTGACAGATCTATAGGAGTGCACTATCTTGGTAAGGCCTACAAAGTCGAATTTACAAATGTGATCAAGGCCATCAAGGAGTTCTATCCCGAGCTCGATCCCGACCGCATCCCCGAGAAATTACCAGCGTGGGACGCGATCACATCCCTGGATGTGCTGTATGAAGCTATAGCATAGAGATTGTAATACAAATATAGCAGAACAGAGGACTAAGTAAATTTGCTAGTAATATGTGGCGCCTAGTACTCACTCTTCCTAGACAGTTCTAGACAAGGCTCCTAAACCATTGGAAAATTACTCTTTCACAGCTTTTTTGTTGCCTCTAAACTCCCCCAGTCGTTGCAGTCTCTTATAGCTTCAAGCTACGAGTAACATTCTATCCTCGATACCGAAGCGAGCTATAGAGGAAAGCCAGCATTTTCTGCTGAATTAGAGCTCCATGTTTCCGGAAAATTGAGGTTGGCATTCCCTACTACGAATAAGCATATTTCCGATATTCTTCCGTGTGCAGAATGGCATAGCGTGTGCGCTCGTTGGCTCTCAACCACATAACCCCTATATTTACGACCCCATTCCCCACACTCCCCAGAAAACCGAATTTGGATGGGAGGAGCGGAGAACGGCATCCCGAGGCTATGAATTTTTTATTAAAGTCCGGTTTTCTTCCGTGTGGAAAACAGCATAGCGCCTGCGATGATTGGTTCGCAACCACATAACCCCAACATATACAACGCCATTTCGCCACATTCTCCGGAAAACTGAATTGGGATGAAAGAGGCGGAGAACACCATCCGGAGACTATATAGCACGTTTATTAAATTCCCCACACAATCCTCTCCCCGCAAAAAGATCTTCTTAGCTGTAAGCACCTGAGAAGCTCTGCCTTCGCTATTTACACGAAGCCTGTGAATCTTGTCACAACCATGGAGACCACAAAGAACGAGAAAGATCTGGCGATAATAGCAAGCTCTGGCCATGTCGAAGACAGCGCTGTATTAACCGCTAATGTTAACGATGTCCTTGTGCAAGAGAGGCTCTCTGGATGGTCATGGACAGCTTTTCGTCTATACGGAGTTATCGCTATCACAACCCTGAGTAAGGAATCCAGAGATACATGCGGAGCTATTGAGAGAGAGAGAGATCCCATTGCTGATGAGAATAGACTGCACGATGAATGGGTTTGACGGAACCTTGATGTCGTCCCTTAACGCAATGAAACCATTCCACCACCAATTTGGAACGAAGATGGATGGAGGCGGTACTGGCATCTTGTTTGCTATTTACGCAATTGGAAATCTGGTTGGAGCGGTTGCAGCGGCTCCGGCCTCGGATATTCTCGGCCGGCGATTTGGAATGTGCATCGGCTCGTTCTTCGTCATTTTGGGCGCGGTCTTGGAAGCTACAGCCAGCAATGTTGGCCAGTTCATGGGCGGTCGGTTCCTAATTGGATTCGGCGTCTCGATCTCGAATACTGCTGGGCCGACGTACCTAGTGGAAGTTGTTTTGCCGCAGTGGCGCGGCGCTCTTGGTGGTCTATATAACGTGGTGGGGTACTACTCAGGAGCTTTAGGTGAGTTGCGAACTGGTTGCGACTGGTCTTTTATTATTTCCTGTGATTAATACTCATCGAGTTAGCTTGCACGTGGATTGCCTACGGGACCGGCTTCTTATCCACAAACTGGTCATGGCGCATTCCAGTCCTGGTCCAAATTGTACCAGCGGGGATCGTTCTCCTAACTGCATATATGCTGCCCGAAAGCCCTCGGTGGTTGTGGTCGAAGGATAAGAAGGATGAAGCGCGTGCTGTGCTGATCAAGTATCATGGCGCCGGCGATCCTCATTCAGCCTTGGTTGCATTTGAGTGCGTCGAAATCGAAGAACAGCTCCGCCAGGAGATTGAATCCGGAAATCACATATGGTGGGACTTCCGGGCTCTGTTTATCGGCAGGGCCATGTGGTATCGACTCTGGATAATATTTTTGGTTTGTGTCTTCTCACAGTTCGTCGGAGGGTCTGTGATCAGTTACTATATGCCTGTCATGTTGCAAAATGCAGGAATTACAGACTCACACAAACAGCTTCTTCTGAATGCTCTGAACATCGTCTTTGGTTTTGTGAGTGGCATTGTCGGGAGCTTCTTTGTTGAACAGCTGGGTCGTCGTACCCTGTTCCTTTGGGGGACATTCCTGACCGGCCTGGTCTACATCCCAATCAACGTGATTGCGTCATTTAATGCAGACCACATCACGCAGAGCATGGGCTATGGATTTATTGCCTGCATTTTCCTCTACGGTATTATTTATTCCTTCTGTTGGACGACGCTCCAGGCCCTGTACCCTGCGGAAATTCTTCCGACGAGTGTTCGCGCCAAGGGACTTGCCTTTCAAGGCCTGGTATCCGGCGGCGCATCGTTTATCAACATGGTGAGAGAAACAAAATTCTTGTCAAGTCTTATGCTTGGGAAATGATGCTGACCTAGTGTAGTACGCTACGCCAGTTGGCATGGACACTATCGGGTGGAAGATGTACACAATCTTCTGTAAGTTGAAATTCACTATCCCCCAATGTTACGGGCTGATCTCTCATAATTATCGGTAGTGGTTTTCCATTTCGTCGAATATCTTGCAATGTTCTTTACTCTACCCGAGACCAAAGGCCGAACCCTTGAAGAGATCGAAGAGGTGTTCGAGGCTGGTAATGTTGTCAAAGCATCATTGCGAAAGTAACCCGAAAAGAGAGACTTCAAGGGTGACGTCCCGAAGCGGAGTGTTTCTGGATAATCAATCAATCAATCAATCAATCAATCAAATTTCAATTAACCTGTTGTAGTCCAAGTAGTTGTGTATGACTATGAAGGCGCTTCATCCAACTGCCGAGCCGGGATCTCTCCTAGAGAGTATATATATAGACGCCAATTTGTAAAGAGTGCGGAATCAGCCTATTCTTATAGCCAATAGAACCCATAAGACCTATAAACCCAATCCTAACCTATATATAAGAAATTAACATATAATGACTATATAGAATATACCCTCTATCTTCCACCTCTATGATTACATAGTATGGGGACACCTATATATATACCACTACAGTTGAACTGAGTTCTATAAATCAAATTGGCTATGAATCTTTGGCTTAATGGGTAAAAGGCCGGAGTAGTGACCGGCTTGTGATCTCAGAAGCCCTTATTTTAGAAGAGGCTCTTATAAGGGATCTTAAGGGAGTACTAGTACTTATATATTAGTCTATATTTTAGCTTACACTTTAGCTTTTACTTTTAACCGTATATCGGTATTACGGTACAGATAGTGTCTTTTAACTTCGCCGGAGCGGAACCTAGAATAGAGCTAGTCTAGAGGTAGCTAAGACCCTCTAGGGTCTACTTCGCGCTAGCGCTCTATATAGATCTATAAGGCTACAGCGAGCCTATTGTTATAGTGCCCTATAACCTACCTTCGACGCTAGAGGGGTATAGGAAACGGGACGTAGACTAGCCCCGCCGTACTAACGGGCTGCCGCCGATAGACTAGGAGTACTAGGGTAACCGGAGAGAGGGGTAAACGGATATGACAGAAATCTGGTATACGAACAATGTATGGTATAGATGACCAATGTTGAAGACTCTAACTAACTAAAATGACAAAACCCGCTATTTCAACAATCTGTGCGGACATTGATGACTAGACCTTGCTAACTCCCACGGGACCAAAATTTTTTGGTCCCATTACCCCGTCACTCCCATGGGAGTCCCACGGGGGTGATAGGACTCCTATATAGTCCCACGCTAGTATAATTTTGCCAAGGATTTCCTATTTCGGCTACATAAAGTTACTAAGTAATCAGGTAAATTATTTAATTATCGAAGGGATTTACTACATAACTTGTATAAGTCACGTTTTTCTATATGTTTGCACTGTTTATAGTCCTATAGGAGTCCCGCCAAGCTCCCACGGGACAGGACTAGTATATTGGTCCCGCTGCTTGGCACTCCCGTGGGACCATATGGGACTCCTATATGGTCCTATGAGACTACTCCCACGGGAGTAAATGTGGGAGTTGGCAAGGTCTAGAGATGACTAACTGTAATATGCACTTTTATATGGTATGTTTGGTACCCAATGTCATATGATGTTTCCGGTATAATACCTGGTTTCTACCATGCATTCGGACTTGGTATTCGACAATAGTACCTATATTAGTAGTTACCTTTCCTTCTTAGATCGCTTATAGTTCTTTATGTATCGTCTATAGGTAGTACTATTTCTTATATAGTATCCTAATTTCTTATATATAGAGTAGAGATTCTTCTAGAGATACTTATTTTACTCGTCCTGAGTAGCGTCTAGCTCTATTAGCCTTAAGCTATATAGATTAGGATCTTAGAGTATCTAGTTTCGGCGCTTATTACTAAATCGGCAAAATCTAAAGTCTAACCCTTCTTCTACTAGTCTATCTCTCGTCGCTTATATAGTCGTATCTACTATGTATCCGGACTTTGTATTCGACAGTTTGTATCAAAATAGGGTAATGACTATAGGCACCGTGATTTTCCTAATGGCACCACGCTAATCCTATTATAGGAAGGGTCACTCTTGGCAGTCAGTTTTCAATACGAGTGCCATTTTCTATGGTATCGCCTTAGTAAAAACTTCAGCCCCCGAAACCTCCCCAACCACATGGTAAATCTAGGATTGGCCCTATGTTGATCCCCCCGTCTCCCCCTATTTCTCTTGATCTGCCTCCACACAAGAGTGACAGTACCTATAATGGGATTAGCGTGGTGCCATTAGCAAAATCGCGGTGCGTATAGTCATTACCAAAAATACGTACCACCCAAGTCGGAAAGAGTCAATCATCAACTCTCGCTGAATCTAAACAGCTGGTTGTCGCTAACAACAGGTTCGGAACATTCAAGATGATCACCAACAATAGTCCAGACGAGATTCGTCCCTTCCTCTCGGATGGTATAGTTGTGGGCCCAGGTGTCAAATTCGGGGTTAGGTTCCCCGTGTAGTTCCACGATAAAGGATGTAGGCAACTTAGTGGCCTCACACACATTCCCGACACAAGAGATATAATTATCACTCGGAATGCTCTGGAAGGTAGTACTTGGATTCCCCAAGTCTCCTCTCCATTTGCTCTCCCCTGCCCATTGATGCACTTTCACCGTGGGATCATTAGGGAACAGTACAACCGAAGCCTCTGAGCCGACTGCATAAATGCCATACTGAGCGGCAGATGCAGCGCTCGCAAAGGCTGCCGTGAGGATGGTTGAAACCTTCATGGTGTTTTGAGATAACGGGGGTCAACAAGCTGAAATTCCGAGTATGATCGTGAGAGAATATTGATGAATTCTCAGACGAAGGATTGTGGAAATTGGGATGAAAGCAAATGATGGTTGAAGTAAGCTCTTGTGGACGGGTTGTCTAGGGTATTTATGCTCAAACAAAACATATCCCCAATACGGAGTACAGAGTACATATGTCGCATTACTCCCAGGGTCTACGGTAATATGGACAAAAGTTAGCGATATAGTGGACAGGAAGCAAACGCTAGTGAAAACCTGCATTCCATTGCCACTTATCGTGTCCTCAGTCGAAGACGGTTGACTGGCTGCTCAGATGCAGCAGAAGAAAGTTTAGTAACGCATATTAGCGCACATTCTCGATCGGGCCGTCGCAGAATGACCGATCTCTGGCATGCGAAGTCTAGAGTTGCATCTCTAGATCATGTGTGGACCTGCCTGTATGCATGTCTTACGTACACATACACTGCCTGGCCATATCGGGCGGGAAGGGACGCCAATGCATGCACGCCACCAATAATCCAATACTTGGCATGGTATTATTTCAAGGACAATTAAATGCATAAAAAGGTGTAACGTGTACTAGAAATTGATGGTATTGGTATTACTGCCACAAAAAAGAGATTGTTGCGTGCATGCAGTAGCGCCCCTTCTCGCCCAAGCTGGCAATGTACTTCGTACGAAAGTGTGATATATCTAGATCATAGATCAGTGATTGCTAATTATTTATCATTCTACTCCACAATGCAGCGCGAATGAATGGCAGCAAATCTGTAGAAATATGCATGAGTAAAGACCTCATTGTTGAGGATATGTATGACGAGAGTGGAATGTTGAATGTTCTCTTGCAATTTCAAGATAGTATTAGGGAATTATTTCACAGAATCACGCTACTAAGGAATTCCCACAGAGAAGACTGTCTAGTGGGATTTATAAACTTAGAGCTAGACGACGAGGGAGAGAGGGAAAGAGAGAAGTGAGAGCTAATCTAGCTACTTAGGCGGGCTATGTCCGATATGATGTCCCAAACAAACATCGGGTATCCAACAGCCTTTGTGGCCACTTACACCTGCGTCAAGGCAATAACTAATGGTAAGGAGCCTTGGCCGTATTACCGCCCAGAAGTTTTCCTTGAGGTATTAGCTACAACACGTCCATTCCAATGTGATATACCATCTTATTTATTGCGAGTATACATTTATAGTTAGTAGCCACTTTACAACGGGTTAGAAGTAGTAGATATAGCGAATACTAAAAGTGTTCTACTTCAACTTAAGAAAGTATCTAGTAATCAACCAAACCTTTACATTCAACATCTTCACTAGAATAATAGACTAAATATTATTCTCCCCTCTACAACTCAACAAGCAGATTCAACAACACAAGTTCGCTAACAACCAGCTATACCCAGCAAAAATTTGCCTAAGGTGTTTACAAGTCCTTCAATCACCTCAGTTCTGGGGAGATGGTGTTATTCCATATCATTTCTAGACCTGACATCCGGTTACTATAGTATTCGTCGAAAGTCTATAGCCAGTGATCATATATGCGGTTCGCATGATAATATGTACCACCAAATATTGGGAAAGAGTTAATCATCAGATCTTGAAGGTTTTAAACTGCTGTGTCTCCGCACCCACCACAGCCATACCACAATCCATGGCATGAGAAAAGACGGTCCAGACGCAGTCACGCGCTGCATCTCGGATGATGAAGGTGTGACCCGAGGTATTCCCCGATGTCTCATCCTCTTTTGCGACATCCATCATATAGACCACGGACTCCGTAGAACGCTGACATGCGATCGGGTTATTGCAATTGATGTAGTCATCAGTAGCAACGCTTCGAAAGATGACGCCTTAATTTTGGTTTGAGCATAGTCCATTTCGTAGGCCTGTTGATAATGATATCGAAGCTCAGGTAGTTATTATTGGAGTTCTACATCAGCCAATTATTTTCCGAGACTGAATAGATGCCATAATGGATAGCAGATGCGGCGCTCGCAAAAGCTACCGTGAGGATAGATGAAACCTTCATGGTGGTTCCGTATCAGGTGGATTAACAGGCTGTAGTTCCGAAGATGATCATGATAGCAATATTGACGAAATTGCAAATGAAGGAGGGTTGGAGGGCTTAGAATGAAAGCAGACGCTGCTCAAATTAATGACACAAAGCTATTTATGCTCAGACAAACTATATCCTGCTCTTATATATCCAAGCGTAGCTCATAGTTAATCAGATTGACTTTACGGAGTACTCCGTATATCCTACTCCGTACGCAGTTGACTAATGATTCATATTTTTGTCTTCCGAATCTAAGACTGAAACGAACCGCAGTATTAGGAGGTCTGCATAGCTAGTAAAATCCGCATTAACTATTCCCTTGCCACTCATCGCCTCGATCGTCAAAGACAGTTAACTGGCTGCCTACATGCAAGAGAGAAATAAATGTCTCATGACTACATTACGTGACACCGAGAAGTGGGGGTGGGGTTCGACCAGTGGATAGATCACCTTGAAGATTTGAGGTTTTTAACGACTGATCATACATAAGAAAGTATAGTACGTACCCAGACAGAGAATGCTTGAAATGTTATTGTATTAGGAAAGTTAAGAATGCGCAAAATATCAGGGTACCGTATGCAGAACACACGTTATCGGTGGTCTATAGGAAGGGCTTAGTGTTTTGATGCGGGTGGCTACGCTGAATACTCTCCATCATGTATGTATCGTATCGTAAACGGTATCAAGGAATGCTTTGGTATGTTAAATATGTTGGATCTGTCTGTTGAGGATTCCCGGTTCGTGTCAATGCAAGATTAGGGCACTTCAACGGCGCTTATGCACTTCACTGCATGCAGACACCGCAGATCGGGTTTAATTGACGCATCCACGACAGTTTTTCGAACACCAGGCTTTTATGGTTCGGGGCCCGCAGATGAGCTTAGATAATTTCCTTGATAAAAATTGCTTGGTCTTGATGTAAATGGGACGACAGCCTGGGAAAACCACTTCTATGCATAAACCGCTGGTAATAAATATGTTATTCTTTAAATACATACAATTAACTAAAGAAAAAGTGCAAAGTGATATATTTGTTTATCAACTGATTGATATTGAGTATTCCTCTCGAGAATCTCTCCAATTATAACCCTCGACCCTTGCCCCATAGCTATTGGTTCTGTCGGTCGGCACGAACCATTAGAGATCTAGACTTTATTTCTATAGGGGAGTAAGGCCCCACAGCACCATTCACCCCTGACAATCGAGGAAGTGGGAACGGGAGCCCGATTGGCTACAGACATGGTCGGCGATCTCCTGTCCAATAAGCTGGCACCTACATAGATATTGTGGATATGGTGTGCTCGTCCCCACAACCACCAACGACGAGGCAAAGGAGTCACAAAGAGCACAGAAACAAAGAACGAAATTCCAACAAAAGAAAACCCCTCATTGTGTCTCAACTATCCTGCTTATCGGCTTAGTCCACAATCATACCATAATAATGTCGCGAACTGCATGTCTGCGTTTTATTTGCACCTAGTGATATATTACCACTAGGCTCATGGAACTCGCTAGTAGACTAGCACGGGGGTACAAACCCACTGTATCTCTAGGCCGCCCGTCTGACCTGTTCCTTATCATTTTATCTAGTCCCGAGGTTCTCTATGTCAATTTGTAATGAAGCCAACTGAGAAAGGGACGATACAGGGGATCTACTATGAAATGTATGGTGCTCTGGAAAATACCTTGTTTCATGGAGAAGGAAAGGACGAAATCGGCTATGGGCCCATCCACCGAGCCCATAGGGCCCATTGGGGCCCATAATGGGCCCCCATCATTAACCAAACAATACAAATTATCCATGGATGTGTGTATTACTCTCGGGCGACTTTCCTCTTATTCTTACCATCTACTAATGAACTTTTATTGAAACCATTTCTTTTCATCGTATTATCTGTCAGGTTATGTTACCTCGTTTAGGATGTAATCAGTCTCTTTGTTTCGTAGTTACCGGGGTTTAGGACTCGCACTGTAAGCTGGCGACTTACTTCGTAAGAGGCACCCAAGGATTCCTGGATCGAGGTAATTTTGGCTGAGTAGATTCCCGGCGCCGTGTAGAAACTGAGGTTGGCTATCAACAAATTGCACAGCACGAGCACCTTGAGCCACGATGGCCAGTTCCGGGGATTGTCCTCGTCCGTAGGACCGGTCCAGTCCACCAGATAGACTGCTTCTTCGGGCACAAGCTCATCCTTGGACAAGTGGATGGCGGCATCTGCGGTCGCGCGATGATGGTTGAGGCCAGTTGGCTTGTTGATGAGCAGCCTCGGGGTCCGACCAAAGCCCGTATTGCGAAGGAGAATGGCCATGGGACGTAACAACTCCGGGGTGCGTGTCGGTTATCCTAGCGGAAGGGACGGGCGATATGTAGATGTTTATGTGCGATTTTACATTCAATTCTTAATCTTAAGATATACCTAAGGAATAGCAGGGAGACCCAGTTTATTTCTTTGTTGCTATTCAGGGTTTAGCGGACCGGAGTACGACCGGGGTACAGAGCACACACATGGAGCACAAAGGAGAGACCGAGCTTGATGGGATTCATGTTCACAATCGGATTTAGTGCACGGAGATTAAGACTCAAGTCCGAAATGAATGTGAAATTACATCTACCCAATCAACTGGCTACATCGTCATGGTCCGTTGTCATGACAACATCTTGCCACTGGTCCAGTCCATCCTGGTTGCGAGCCAATGCTGCACGTATCGCCGCAACGGCATCCCGGCCTAGTGCTAGCCCTGGAGGCAGCTTACGGCCCTCGCAACGTCCTGTCTTGGTCAAAGCTTCGACGATCACTCGGGCGCCCTTAGCCGGATCCCCTGGCTGGTGGTGGTCGTACGCCGCCAGACCTGCCCGCGTAGACTCGGTGGCTATGTCCAGCTCGGCCAATCGGTTCTGCGCCACGACTTTGTGCCCACTACTCAGGAAGTTGGTACGAAAATATCCCGGCTCAATGCAGGTGGTCTCTATGCCGAACGGGGCCAGCTCCCCGCACAGAGCTTCGGTGTAGATCGCGAAGGCCGCCTTGGTGGCACAGTACAGTCCAGCAGCCGGAGTCCCAGACCATCCGCCGATGGAGCCTAGATTAGCAACGACCCCCGACCTCTGCTTGCGCATAGTGGGGAGGACAGCGCGAAGCACTCTCATTTGGCCAAACACATTGGTTGCAAACACAGCTTCGGCCTCAGGTCCCCTGTACCAAGGAAGGAGAACAGTCAGTGGTATTGAACGGAGGGCGGACCTAGGGAAAGGTCTCGGATGATTGACTATGATACTCACGAGCATTCCTCAACGGCACCCTCAAGGATATATCCGGCATTGTTCACCAGGACGTCGATGCGCCCAACAATCCAGAGGATGGACGCCACCTGCGCCTGTACGGTCTCATCGCTGCCATTGACATCCAACTGGTGGAGCACAATTTGGCCAGGTCTCTGCTGCTCGAGGTCCTTGAGCTTAACTTGTGTTCTTAGCTTGAGTAGCAATAAACATATGCTGTGGTGGAAAGACTCCCAGGGCCAACATATGAGTTCCCAGGAGTTAACGGATCTCCAGGACCATCAGCTACGTTCCTGGAATAGATGCTACGTTCAAGGTACCTTTACCAGACCTGCGCACAAATATGAGTCATTCAACGACTCCTGGAAAGGCAAGCTATAGCCCCAGGAACCGCACCTGAGGTTCCAGGAGTTGATGAGACTGTCAACAGGAACATGACTTTGGTTCCCCGAGGTGGAGGTACAAGACCCCAGAAACTACTTTGGGCTTCCTGGGGGATACTTGGCTCCTGGAAGCGGCTTCTTTGCCCCCAGAAACCGCACTGAAGCCCCTGGGAGCTACCTTGCTCCCAGGGCGAAGCAGTCATTTCAGGTCCGTCTCAAATGTAGCATCGCCCCGCTCTGAATCGTTAGAAATAGCCGCAATAATGTCATCCTCGCCAGAGTCGCTTTCCAGCTTTTTAGTCCGCTGGCGTCGAGAACGCTTATAGTCGAACTCAACGGAATTGAAGGGACGGCGAGGGTGCGGAGGCTGAGAAATGAGACTACAAGACCGCGAAATAATGAAGTGGCTGGTAGGTCACGAGTAGATGGTCGGTAACTGTTTTTTTTGGGACTGTGCACCCACGGCTGGGCGAGCAGAAATGGCAGACCAAGGAAGCACGAAGAAGAGAAGAGAACAGGCGATGGGCAGAGAAGTAGTCTCGGTGGAGGGAGAGAGAAAGCTGGGGAAACAAGGAAAATATACGGAAGAGAAAGGGGTCATGGCGGGCAGATACCATCTTGACCAGGTGCTGAGTCCCTGTACTCCAGTGTGTCAAATGCTCATTAAACTCTGAAACCGCTTGAGCCACCCGGATTCCCAATATTAAAGCAACATTTACTACAACGCCACAACTATACCTCTCAGAACTACAGAATCAAGAGGGTACTTGCAAGTTTCCTCTGATACACTGGAGTGCTGTGAAATAAGAGGCTCTTGATACACTCAAAGAGTCTCTCTTGCTCGAGCTACCTAGCTAGTATCCATTGGGTCACCATCAGAGTCGGTATCCATTGGGTCGCCGTCAGAGCCGTCACCCCAGTTCCAGTCAATATTCCATGGATGCAAGTCGTTGACAAACTTCAAGTAGTACTCAAACCGTTTGATAAGTACCGGATCTGACTGCACTGCCTCCTCAGGCGCCAGTTTCTCCTGATCTTTCGGTTGCGGTCGATTGAGGTCGCGGCCCTTCTGGGCCCATTTCTTCAGGAACTTCCTCACTTCTACCTGAGCACGTTGATGTTCGGACTCTACCCAGTCTTTCCAAAGCTCTGCAAACCCTTGTGGAATGTACACTCTGTTATACAAACCACCGACATTGACCTGTATCTCGTCGTCTTCCAAACTGCGCAGTTTCGCCTCGATTCTATGGGCTTGTTTAACCAGTATGTCCTTGATCTCCTGGACATAGTAGTACTGCCAAGCAAGAATGTGGACTTTGAGATCTTTGGAAAATTCATCCCAATCTCCTTGTTTTGCATGGTTGCCAATAACGTCCGAATGATAAAAATTGTCTCCAGAAAACCACTATAGCATCCGGTTAGTCTGAATTGGGCTGAATATACCAACATGGTCGACGCTCACTCCTTGCTTGACATTCTGGTTCAGTACACTCTCGTAGAGAACGAACTCCTCAGTATGTTCATATTTACCGGGAAACTGGCTCCCCAACTTATCATTGGCGTTCCAGCGCGCCTCCCACCAGAGTTTCATATACGCGCACCAAGTCACATCGCCGTCAATACCCGTTTGGGGATCGGGGTACACGCGAGCATTTGGATTGGGGTCGCCCCGTCTTTTGTTGGACCATTGCTGCCCAAGGTGGTTAAAGAACCTCTGCACAGTTTGGGCCTCCAGAACATGTTCACTATGGTACGATCGCCCTGTTTTGTCTGTGGGATTTGTAGGGGTTTGTGAAAGCTTCATGAGGCGCAGATTCATACAGTCTTTGGAGTCTTCCGCATCGTATGTGGCCACGTCTGGGTATTTCTTCACCAGCTCGCCCGAAGAGGGGAAGTTGCTGAATTTAATAAGATTTCCCTTTCCGAACCCTGAAAACGTCGTGGTTTGTCCCCTTTTCCCCTTTTCAGTGCAGTAGGATAGTCTCTTCTCTGCTCGTTTTTCGATATTCCCCCGTCGCATCAGGGAACTGTCTTCCTCCCCCACAAAGTCAAAGTCTTCGTACAGGGTGTTCAAGTCACAGTTATGTTCCTTATCGCCCGGGTCGGCACAATAGATTCCTTTGGTGGAGATTGCACACGTAGAAAGTGAGGCCTCCGGTATCTTGATGGTTGAGCCAGTGGTCGAACGAGGCAGCAGAGAATCGGGAGCCATCTTTCCTTCTAGGGAGCGCTGTGCCAGCATGCTGAAAGGCACGCAACCGGACCAGATTGTCTTTGGGGAGGCTGTTTTCCAGTTGTAAGAACCACTCTTCCACCCAGGCAGACCATTCTCAACGCTGAAGTTAATTCCCATCTGGCCAGTCACGTCAAATTGCAATCCCTCACTACATGATTTCGCGATGGAAGCATGATAACGAATCGAGCTTGGAGTAGTGAGACTGAGTGTTGTGTCAACGTACTTCCGTTTCCCTAGTTGCACCCCAATGTCGACTTAGTTTTCTCCCATTTTACACTATTTTCAAACGTGGACATTTGGAAAGCGTGATATTTAATATTAAAGTGCAGTTAAGAAGCTATTTACGTAAGATGTGTCTAGTTGTTTTCAGTTTCACAGCCGGTGACATAGTCAACCTTCATTTCGCAACCGTTATCAAAGACCATATGGCCACAAGCCTGATTGCAGTCATCGAAAATGTGATCGTAGGCACTTTAATTGTGAGATCAGTATTGTAAAGCATTACGGGGCATAATAGAAGACTTACGCTTGCATGGTAGTGCCCTTGACTTCGCAGCCGTCGCCCTTGATGAAGACTCCGCACCCACCCGAGGCGTGCTTGCCATCAGTATAGCATTCTCCGGTCTTTTTGCCGCTTGTGGTTCTATTAAAGAGAGGGTTAGATTCATGAAACATAATCTCAATAACCAACGAACTTACCCGTAGATATCATCGCCTCTGATATAACTCTTGGCCACATCACAGAACCCATGTAGGTTGCTGACGAAAAGATGACACATAGTCTGGCCGTGGCCACATGTACTTGCGGACTCGGATGGCTTGTATTTGTTGCTAGTGGTCGTTGTCGCCTCTGTTGATGTGCTAGACGTGCTGATGGTGGTGGGGGTGGTGGTATATAGCGAGGAGAAATCGTCGTCGATGATGCTAGCCTGACTCGTGATAGCAGCATCATCAATAGTCCGACTATAGAAGCGATACGCAGCCTTCACGGTACTATTGGAGGTGATTGTGGATGTTGTAGTGGTGGATTTGGCATCACAGGCGGTGATGGTTTGACACATGGTGGATGTTTCCGTAGTGTAACCTGAGGAGACCATAGAAGAGGAAATGTACTCTGTGCAAGTATCTGCTTCCTTGGAGTCGCAGTCATCGTCTTCCGACTCACATCCATCGCCAGTGCATTTGCCCCCATCGCAGTTTGAACCCGAGCAGCTAACTTTGCTGCAATCAGACCCGGTACATTCTCCAGTCTGGGGATCGCAGTCGGCACCGATGCAGCCAAGAGATACACAGTCTGGGCCAGTGCACTGTCCAGATCCGTTACAGTCATCGCCTTCACATCCGGTAGTGTCACAGTCGTCGCCGTCACATTCTCCTGAATCGGTGCAATCAGTACCAATGCAGCTGGTGACATGGCAGTCTGATCCGAGACATGTATGAGTAGACTCATCGCAATCGGTACCGGTGCAGCCTCTCTTAACACAAAGAGGCCCAATACATTTTCCGCCCTTGCAGTCTGGGCCGCTGCATCGGGAGTGTGATGGTGGGTCAGGGTCTTCGGGGTCCTTCCAGTTGTCGTTCGAGACTGTATCATCGCAATCCGTCAAGCAAGGCGCATCACAGAAAGATTTACACTCACTGCCACAGTTTGAAGTACAGGTAGGCGCTGGAGGTCCGCCCTGTGTCCATGTGATCACTGGCGTGGGAACATCGACAGGCAAAGAAGTTGTAGACCAGGGCCAAGGAGGAGGGAAGAAAGTGCGGTCCTCAGAGCCTGTAATAGTCACGTAACTGCCATTGATGCCACTCTGCGTCTGCGTCTGCTGGTAGCTCAGAGTGTTCCTGAATGTAAACGAATCCAGGGAGAAGCTAGGGAAGAGGGTCTTGGAACTTGAGGTGTCGTCAGTTCCGGTGATATTCCAGTTCCACCACGGAATGCTGCTGGCAGTGATGGAAGGAATCGAGAATGTGGTTGTTTGAATGGTGCGAGTGACGGTAGTTGTGACGGTTGGTTTATTCGAGACTGTCACGGTCTTGGTTGTCGTCCAGGCAACTTCGATGGGTGTCACTAAAGGTCCAACTGAAATAGTGGTTGGTGTAGACAATGAGGATGGAGCCACAATCAGATTGACTGGGGCGATAGCGGTTGCAGTATTTGAACCCTTTGGTTTGGCGACGTCCCCATCGACATAGAAGTTACCACTGCCTGAATCACTTCCATCTGTACTTGCGCCAGTCATGGATGTATCTTTGGGGTCAAGGTCATTGGGGTTCGCCGTGGTGCCAGGTCCACCCTCTTCAATGGACCATGCGAAAAGGCCCCCGAGGCACTTCTCATTAGCAAAGTCGGCCTTTTGCTTCAATGTCTTCGCGTTGTCAAATGAGACCCTAGTAATATTAGCTTATAGAACCTCGGCCTCTCTTAGCAAACATACCATTGATTTGAATCCCAAGTCATCCAGTTGACCGCAGCTTGTTCGTTATAAGTCACATCAGGATTATACTGCTTGATGACCCGCTCGATCTCGTAATCGGTCAAAATGCCAGTTGTGTTCGTGCATTTACCAGCTTTTCCACCACCTGCAGAGTCTTCGGTCTTGTCGAATGCACATCCTGGTGTATCACAGCTAGGATCCTTCAATGTGAACGAGCGCCCATAGTATCCAAGACCAAGCAGCACCTTGGAAGGATCGACATCATTGCGCCACAAGAGATCCAATCCATCCTTGATCTCTATATGATATGGTCAGTAAAGAGATTTGGTTGATTAGAAAGGAATGTTTCTTACCAGTGAGGTTGGTATGGGGGTTGATATCTGACTCTGTCCACTTTGTCTTTCCATCCCAGGTGCCGTGGATATCGTATGCCATGAAGTTGAAGTAGTCGACATATTTTGACAGTCCTCTTACATCAAACCCTTTCAGATACCCTATCAGAGGAGTCAGCAATATGTTGCAAAATGTAAATATGCCATATAAACTCACAGTAAGAAGTAGGCAAGGTTGCAGTGATGCTATAGGACCCGTCACAAGCTTCCTTCAGCTCCTTCATAAATGTCACGAAATTTTTCGTGTCCTCATCACGACCACCTGCCGATTACCATGAAAATTAGCACGCTTTCCCATATACACGCCAATCAAGAAAAAAGCTAGTTGCTTACCTCGATCTGTAGCAGCCGGGTATTCCCAGTCAATATCAATTCCATCGAAGCCGCGGTCATCCATGAAAGATATAACGGAATCAATAAATGACTTGCGCAGCCCGGAAAAGCGAACCATGTCTGAGAATGGTTCGCCTCCAAGATCCCAGCCACCAACGGAAATGAACGTCTTCAAGGAAGGTTTCTTCTTTTTGAGGTCATTCATTTGTTCAATGTATATATCGTCCAAGTCGTATATGGTCTCGATGGTCGAGTCGCCCGTGTCAATACCAGCAAAGCTATAGAACATGTGTGTCCAGGGATTGACATTAATATCTGATGGGGTCATTGTGTCGCACGCGCGCTCGTAATTCCACGCTTCGAAGTACCCTCCATAGACCTTAGAGCTAGAGGACCCCGAGCATGATGGCTGCTTCACATCATCACATCCACTCTGGCAACCTTTGCCACAGAAGTCTGAACTGGTACCACAGAAGCCGAACTCCGAGCAACAAACATTCAAAGGGCACGTTTGATTGACCACCGGAGCATATTTTCCACACTCTGCCTGAGCGTCGCAATTCGAGATACAAACGCTATCACCGCAAAATTTAGGCCCAAAGCCACAATAGCCTGCTTTGCTACAACATCCTGTGTCACACTTCTTGTCTTCGGAACAAGTGCCACTGGTGCCTTTAGCGCCCAGCACTAAATCGCAGAATAACGGTAACAAGGCCAAAGCCTTGACCGTAGAAAGGATATTCATCCTTATGCAAAACGAAACAAAAGAAGGAGCGTGAAAATGAACGTGGAATCGATTCAAAAGAATGTGAGGAGATTCATGCAGGACAGAGAAATGCCCGGCACGATCTATATAAGTTACTTCAAACCGAGTATGTAACGGACTCCATATCAATTCAACAACATTTCGCCTGTAATTCAATTACGGTATCAGACTGGAAATCTCAATACCGGACCCTCAGCGGAATCTTTCTCGTTGCAGCCTCACGGCCCACGCCTGTGACGATCATTATGTGCTCTATGTACATTGGCCATGCCCCTGCATTAGCTTCGGTCAAGCTCTAGAAATTAGTCAGGCATGCGTGATAACGATCTTTGAAACAAAACAGTGGACCTCAGTGGACCAGGATCGGCATCAAAGGTTTGAAGTTGCGGATAGCCGAGTACATTTACGAACTCAAGTATTTACGCAGTCTACCTTCCAATCTTGCTGTGAGATGATTGATAGAAATTTTTGCAGATACTCCACTCATGTCAGGCACATTCTCGGTTTTCATCCCACTTCCACGGTTTAGCCTTTGGCCCCCGGGGCCAAGCATAGCCTAGTGTCTCCACATACTGTCTATATCGTATGTGCACACTACTCAAATGAGTCAATCTCAGTGTTGTTACATGCGCTAGTCTACGCGAGCCGTCTGTTCCAGGAACTTGTCACTGAGTTTGATATTTTTGTTGCATAAATGTCTCTTGGGGGCCAATACTCACCCCATTTTATCCACGCCAATCTTGAGTGCGCGGAATCGGAAAGCCATAGCCACCATGAAACCAGTTGCAGCATTGTTCGTCGTCTCACTTGCATCCGCAGCATATGGGTGGAAAGTCGGAGACAGTTCTACCGGTACCACCGATCCCGATGTCACTACGAAGTGTACTCAGTGGGCGAATGATATTTCCTCCAAAGATAGCTGCAAGGCTCTGCAAAAGGAATTTGATATCGACTTCCAGCAACTCCACGAATGGGTGCGTATCTGTCTCTCTTCTAAAAATCTTTTATTTCCCTCCAGCTAATGAGTCAAACCTGTAGAATCCCTCACTCTTGAAGGACCCATGCGTTCCCATCGAGGGATGGAGTTACTGTGTGGGTAGCTCGAGCAAATCAAATGATCAGGCCTCGGGGATTGGTACTGCGGCACCCTCACTCCATCTTTCTACTTCTACGGGGTCCACTGCGACTTCGACGGAGGCGACTTCTTTGCCGAGCCAGTCAACCGAGTCTGCTGGCACTGCCACTGGTAACAGTGCGACAGCATCGAGTGCCAGTAGTTCGCCCTCGGCCACAGGGACTAGCAATGGAATACGCCTAATGGCGATCGAGGGTACTGGAATTGTGATGGCAGGGTGTTCACTTTTTATTTCCTTGTTTCTGTAGTCTACTTTGGGCTGAGTTGGGAGACAATGCATCTAATTTACTTTCTGTTGATGTGATTCAGTTCTTGAGTCTATTCGTCTTTAATATACACCATTGACATATGATATTATCCTAAAAACAGCAATACGTTCTTATGAGGAGAGCCATTTAGTTTGAATGGTTGGTCATTGGTATACTTATGCAAAGCAAGAGACTTGTTTGAAGAACCCCAAGTGTCACTTATATATCGAGGGTCAGATATACAAAGCTCTCGTGGCTACTTTGCTTATTACATGTCTCTATTTTGCTCGATGAAGATCAAATACACGCAACAATCGTTGTTTGATATGAGATATGAGATACAATAGACTAGTAGTAAATTCAATAAAAAAATCGAAATTGTCGTATTTAACATTGAAAATGAAGTATGACCTTCTCCTATTACTAGCAATGGGCCTTCAATCTAGATATAGGCCAATTCCTCAATAGCACATTTATTTAAAATCCGCAGAAGAATAGTCTTAGGAGGATGTCGTTCCTAGAATCATATTAGAATGTACCAATGATCTCAAGGCTCAGGGTGACCGAAACTTACCAGGTGCGCCGACACAAACGTTAGTTTTACGCCACAGATTGGTGCAGTTGGATCCAGTAGCGGGATTCAATTTATAGAACTCCGCTGTGGTAAGATCGTACTGCTTCTCGATGGAAGCGCAGTCATCATCGCCAGACACGTAGTGCCATTTGTTGCCTATTTACCAAAGTGTTAGTCACCGACTTTAGAGAATGGGATCTTGATCTTGAAAGCCTACAGTCCGAAGCTACTCCAGTCTGAGTTGGGAAAGCAGATGTCGAGCTGGATGAGCCAGTGGCGGTGATGGTAGCAGAGGGCGTGAGCCCTAATATTATGTTAGACAAGGTTATCATGAGAGCTTGGAGCAAGGAAATGATACCTGGCTCACCAACGCAAACATTAGTCTTACGCCAGAGGTTGTTGCACTTAGAACCGGTTGCAGGGTTCAAATGATAGAACTGCGCTGGCGTGAGATCATATTCCGCTTGAATTGAGTCACAGTCATCCTTTCCAGATACATAGTGCCACTTGTTGCCTGTATTTCCGCATGTGAGAACAGTATCATCGAGAGCATTACGAGAAAGAATAACTTACAATCGTGAACAACCCCAGTCTGAGTTGGGAAGGAAGAGGTTGAGCTGGTAGACGCAGACGCAGATGGAGATGACTTCGCAGCCACACAAACAAAGTCACCGTTAACCAGTCCCTTGCACCCCTTGGAGATAACGCTGCCCAAGTCAGAAAATCTTCAATCTCAGAGCCGCATGATCAACTTACGGATTCCAGCTGTAGAATTGACTCAGAGTGAAGTTCATATACATGTCTTGAATGCTGTTGCAAGAGTCCCCATTCTGCACCAGATGGTAATTGGTGCAAGACTTTGTGATTCCATTCTGGGTTGGCGCAGCAGTGCCAGCGAAGCTAAAGCTACTAGCTGAGGTCGCCCCAGTACTATTACCACCCATAGAAGCTGTTCCGGCCGGACCAGACACACAGTAACTCCATTTAGGTACCAGTACGCAGTAGTCATACTTCAGGGATGGATTCTGGAGAAATGTCAGTCACGATCCCCCCATTGAAACTAGGACATGGTATAAGTAGGGACTTACCCAGGAAACGAATTGCTTTAGTGAGATTCCAAAGAAGTCCACTACTGCATCACAAGTGTCGCTGTATTGAACATCATTCACCCAATAATCACAACCCACAGCAGCATTGGGGTCTTTAGTTCCAGTAGCTGATGGCCCATTCGTCCACCCGCCTTGAGTGGCAGCAACAGCCGCACCCAGCAGCAATGAGTGAATGAATAATTTTGGTACGAACATTCTGAAATGAGACCAGTTGGGAAAAGAAGAATTGTGTGATGTAAAAGAGCGACCTCCTGCTTTACTTAGAAAATTTAGAAGGGGATATCGAGGAAACGACTGTTCTGATTTTGATGGACATGGTACATCAGTCAGGTAACGTACGTTTTCCGAAAGTTACGGTAATTACTGTTTCATTTTTCACCCACTGCCATTGTCCGAACTTGGAAATTGTCATTCCACGTCTTGCAAAATGATGATCGTCAATGGGTACGCAGGTGTATAGTGGCCAGGGGTCGGATGTGGTTTGTAATGGTATTGGTGCCTGAAAATTTCAGTTGATGCCTGAATTAAAGCTGGCAGAAAATAAAGATACCTGAATTACCATAACATCGCCCTCAGTAAGTAAAGTACTTGAATTCTTCAATTCCTCCAAGGTCGACAAAATCTACACCTTGAAGAATGGGCATCAAACGTGACGCTATTCGCACCCATACAAATCCTACGATTCCCTCATTTCTAGGCGTTGAAACCTTCCCACTGCGTTAGATAAGGCGATGTGCTCGACCCAGGTGGGGACTTCAACGCCCAGAAATGGGTGATTTCGGAGATTTGTATGGTGGGAATAGCTTCAATATTACTGGGGGCTGGAGCTTCATTTACAATACACTGTATAGAGCGGTGTCCCGAGGCGGTAGAAAACCAGGCATTTTTAGGCATCGTCAGGCACCAATACCATTAACCACATCCGACCCCTGGCCACTATACACCTGCGTAGATGGAGCTAAAATATAGTGGGGTGCAGACAAGCATGTTGCATTTGAAATCTTAGCTCAAACAATTATACTGGGCCCCATTTGGGGCCAAAATCCTGACGAATGAGAGATCCCAGTTGATATCTGTGCAAGGGGAGAAGCCCCAGTGTTGGGGCCATCCGAGTGAACTGACCCTTTACTGGAAATTTCAATTGGTTCCCTGATATTTTCCATTAATGCAACCATCTATACGTACTTTAGTGCAACATAGACAGAGGAAATTCGCGCAACGAGCCTTTGAAACACGGACCCATTCAGGTAGCGCTATCTGGCCAGTAATGCGACTTCATGAGCTCCGTGTCAGAGATTGCAAGATACTTGATTTCTATGGAGCATGAGGGATTTATTTGTAATACAGAGATTGCACATCCAGGTCAATTCACAGTCTTTTACGCCGTAGGGGGCCAAATACACGGGGCGGTATTGTTGGAAATGAACCTAGGCCTCGCGTAGGGGTCATTGAAGAGCCCATCACTTGAAGAAAAAGATCGAGGAGCTTTTTATTTA